ATATACCTCCTAATTTACCTCTGGGTTCCCACTCCAACCTCATTCCAGTCCATTCTATACACCACAGCTAGAACGTTCTTCCAAACAGAAAGTCCTCGTGCACCTGCTCTGCTCACAGCTTTCTGTGGCTTGTGGCTGAGTGAAGCCATCCAGGGTGTGCTGAGCCTCACCGAGTCCCTGTGCTCATCTTAGACTGATATAGCCTGTTCTACTCGAGAAGCACTCACCTGGCCCTGTGGCAGCCGTCTTTTGGCCAGCCTCCCCCTCCCCTTGCCTGCTTAACCCCTACCTACCCTTCAGTTCTCATCTCCATCTCTTCCCGGGCTATGGGACCCTGACGCCCAGCCTCACCTCTGTCCCTGTGACAAGCGCTCACGGCAAGCCCAAATGCCTCCTGTCCCAACACCTCCTGTGGCTGTGACTTTGCATCTGACTGTGGGTCTCCTGCACCACTCTGCGGGCTCCAGGAGGACAGACACTGTGCAGACTGTCTTCACCACCCTCCTGTCTCCGGGGCATGGCCCAGTGCCTAGACTGTGGTAGGCACTGAAAATATGTTTTTAAATAAACAAGTGGCCGAATGAATAAACGCCTAAGACTTGAAAGTCTCATTCCTCCCAGCCTCAAGAAAACACCCAATGTGAGGTCTTTGTTCCCAGGTGATGGGGCTCCAACTTCGGGAAACTCTGCTTTAGGGTTGAATCCCTTTAAACCCATGCACGTTATATTTTAATAATTAAAACATCTTGCAGGCACCCCATGTGAGCACCGCCATGCTGGGGACGGCTGGGGTGATGTGGAATAAAGTCTAATCATTTCCTTACAATGCCAGGCTGGGCAGGCAGAAGGGGCTATTTTATGCGACTAATTATGGCATCCAAGCTGCTCTAAGTGCGATGCTAATTGCTCAGTGAATGAATTGTAGACTCAGGTAATTACCAAACCTAATGTGGCTCCCTTCATGTTTGAGTAAATTAATGCTACAGGCGGGAAGCAACCCCGCTTGAAGGGAGCTGCCTCCTGCCTCGCCGTTGCTTGGGAAACAGCGGTGAGTTTTTTCATCTGGGCTTGAAAATGCCCAGGTATACACCCACACATCTGGGGTCTGCCTTCCACCGGCACAGCTGCGAAACGACAAGGAAGATCTTACACCAAACAGAACCGAGAGGCTTTTGCCACTCTGACAGATGACGGGCTGTCTCTGGGGCTCTTTCTTTATCTGTAAAGCCATCATGAAGTTTTCTTTCAGCTCTGTGATCGATTGCTAAGTGAACAAACATCTGGTCGATTACTAAAGAATGGATTTCTGCACCGAATCCGCAATCAAGTACTGGCTTCAAGTTTTACATCCAATGTCAAGGAGCAACAGTACTCATAAATATTTATGGAGTGCTTACTACTTGGCCGTCACTAATCTAGTAAGAGTTTTGTGTGCATTATCTCATCTAATGCTCGCAACAACCCAGAACATTTGTAGTAATTCACAGAGTTAGTGAGTGTCAGAGCCGGGCTTTACCCAGGCATTAAGAGTCTGTATTCTTAAACATCCCATGTGTCGTACTTCTCGGACCCTGGGAAAGTCACATTTTTCTGAACCTTGGTTTCCTTAACAGTGAAGATACCAGTACCTACTATGTATCCAGCCCTTTGCTCAGCCCTTTCGAGATGGTAATTTTATCATCACAAAGAAGCTGTGAAGTAGGTGGAACTGATCTCCTTGACCAGGTCACACAACCCAGTAGATGGTAGAGTCGGAGTTTGAATGCTGTTCGGTTTGTCTAAAGTATCGTGTGCTTTCTTTTTCCCCACTATTCCTCAAATTGAGGATGTGTAGATCCCCATGAATATGCTTATAGACTGCTGGAGGTTCATGCATCCTACTTCAAGAAACACAGCATAAAGTTGGCCACTGTCAGTGCTACATGAGGGTGGACCTCACGCAAATGTGTGATCTGAATTCACAAGGCGGTGTGAGTTCATAGGGTAGCCATCCAGATCACCCCAGATCTGCTTAAATACCCGTCATATACTATGAAAGTGCAAACACTGACTTAAAGATCTATATCTCATAGAGACTCGGGAATGCATACCCAAGCCCAGGGAGTACCTCTGTGGGCCAGACTCCATTGGGGACACACTGGGGACAGTCCTGCCACTGAAATCTCAGAGCGGTTCTTCCATCCTGTGTGTCCCACCCACCACACCATGGTGAGGACCCCCCACCCCACAGGTGTTGTAACTAGAAAGCATACCCTTCTGTCTACCCCCCATCTCTCAAAAAGCTGCTGCCCTTCAGCTGTGCTCTGGGTAAAAGGGAACCTCCACTTGCAATATCCCCTCCAGTTCCACACCTCTTCTCTAGTCATTCCTGAACAATCTGCTCATTGGCACATGAGAAGCTGATGCTTGGGAGAGAGGAATGGCTGCTGGACAGGCGTGCCTATACTCCATGAAAGCACATTTACGTGATCGGATGTATCAGTTTGCCTTTTCAACCAGGACACCCTTTTCATGTGAACTTGGTGTAGGAGAAGGTGCCCTTGATGGCCTGTGAAAGGAACTTATTGGCCCCAGTCAGGGAAAAGGGTCAGGAGTGTTAAGAGTTTTGAGGTCAAGAGTGTGGGCATCGTGGACACTGTGGCCTTATATCAATCGCTTAACTTCTCTGAGTCTCGGTTTTCTCATCTATAAAATGGGTTTAAGCAGAGTAGGTACCGCTTAGAGTTGTGACGAGTAAATGATACCAATGAAAACAATGTATGTAATTACAGAAAATGAGGCCTGGAGTACATCTTACTTCCTCAGTCATGTGAGCTCTGTCTGAAGCTACTGCTACCTCAGGGTTGAGGGGACAAGGCAACAAACAAAGAAACGAAACCGAAACGTAGAGGAGGGACCCCCCGGACCAGAGAGGCAGACCTCCGGAGAGGAGGCACTTGTCAGCCAGCGCTGCCATCTCTGAGGGGCTGCCATGAAGCTGCTTTCGCAAGAGTTGGAAAGACGGCCAACTGGACTCCGCTGCCGGGCTCAAGAAGCCTGGCTGGGATGGTGGCCGCAGGAGGAGCAAGGCCCTTTTCCTTCTTCCAGGATGCCATCCTCCTGCAGCGCCCCCTGTTGGAGAAGCCCGACCGGAGACCCGTACAAAGCTGACACTGTTCGCAGCATCCTTCAAAGCCAAGCGTAGAAGAGTAGTTTTGAGGCTGAGCATTAATGACTCCGTAGCTGGAACACTGACTTCCCGAGGTCTTTAGTCACATACCTCCCCGGGGCACCCTCCCTGGTCACCATCATTATAAGTATGCCCTCTTCCTTTCTAGAGCCATTTCCAGTCTATTCTTCTCAACGCTCATCCAGCAGGTGCTTGTGGTTTTCCAAGTCCCATGCCCTCCGCTAGCCTCAAGCCCAGCCGCAGCTACAGTGGGCAATTCTGGGAGAGGTCAGACTCACGCCCTTCACCTTGTCTCTCTTCCTCAGCTACCTTCTGCTTCCAGCCAGCTCAGAGGACTTCTTATTCTAGATCAGGGTTTCTCAGTCTTCGCACTGTTGACATTTGGGGCCAGGTAACTCTCTGTTGTGGGACACTGTGCTGTGTATTGCACGGTGTCTAAGCAGCACCCTTGGTCTCTGCCCACTAGCTGCCCTCGCCAGGACAACCAAAAATGTCTCCCAGTTGTCCCTGTTGAGACCCACTGTTCTAGGTTCGTACCTGGTCCATGGGTTGTGTGAGAACCTGGGCAGTGGCATCAGATAGAGTTTGACCGACTTTACCTTCACATATTAACCTTTATTCTCTTGGGCAAGTCACTGAAGCTCTGTGTCATTTTGCTCAACTGCAAAATGAATATAATACTATCTTCTATTGTGACGATGAAATAAGGTAACGCTGGACTGGGTTTAGTACGGTACCTGGTAAATACCAATCGATCAATACAAGTCAGCAACAATTTATTATAATTCAAAGCAAAGCATTAATGTAATTCATGAGAAATCACCACCAAGTTGACTGTCAACATATGATGCCAAGTAACTGGCATGTGTTTATTTGTTCTACTGAATGGGCTTGACATTGGCCTTAGGGAAGTGGTAGCGCTCCGAAACTCTGTAGAAATTTCGTAAGGATAACTGCCAGATGCTGGAATCTGGGCTACTGATGATAAGACCCACTTGCAACTGAGATTGATTTAAAGGCAGTTAACATATGAGTGCAACTGTGTGATCCTGCAGACAAATAATAAACACTTGTCAAGTAGGAAATTTCACTGTGATGCTTAGAGTCAACAGGCTGTTTGATTCATCTAATTGATTTACTCTCCCAAATGTCACCAAAAGGAATCAAAGAAACGAATACAGTGACTATGTCTTTCAGACCCTGAGTACTTTACGAATCTCAGCACTTTGATAGTACTGGATCCAGAACCCTCCCTGGTAGAGGAAACTTAGTGTACGTAGTGCTTGAGGTAGTACATAAAGTCCATTTTGATGATTACAAAAGAGCCTTAGGCTTTGTTGGGAGGAAAGAAGAAATCTAGGTTCTAGTCCAAACTCTGCCACTAACTCTTTGCGTATTCTGGGCCTGTCATTTCCTCCAGGCCTTCAGTTCCTTACTTTTAAAATGAGCAATTTGGATTCAGTTCTTGATGTAGATTTTGCATGAAGTTCCTTCGGGAATACTATGGAAGAAGGCCTTCAGTGGGTTGGCTAGATCAATAGTTCGAATCTTTTCTGGAACCCCAGGGTTTTGGTTGGGTTCAGGGTCTTTAGAGGAAGTTCGATGGGTAGAACGCTTAGGCTCCTTTTTAGCTTTCAACCAGAGTTGCTGCTTTCAATTGGTTTGCATAGTAAGATTTCACAAAGGTTTCAAATGGTTGATGCCCAGCCCCACCTCACCATGCTCTCAGAAACAGACAGTAGAAAGGAAGTCAACAGTAGTGGGAACACTCTCTTCGGTGCATTTGAAGGACGCCTGTAGAGTTCTCATGTTTTCTTTCCTTCCTCTCTAGGTACACAGTTCTGCACAGTGGACATCACCAGGAACTTGAGAAACTGCCCATACACAATGACCCAGAATCCTTGGAATCATGCTTCTGACTGAGAACATGGCTCATGATTAAGCCATTCATTCCCATTCACGTCCGCATGAACAGGACTCCCTGGCATCTCTCTTGACCCTCCTCACCACCAGTGAGGCATGAAGCAGTGGGGCCGAGGGCCCAGGGAAGCTACATGGAACACAGTGTTGGACAGGACCAAGGCCAGAATATGGAGGATCTCAGAGTTGAGAAGGGACTTCAGGCATCCTCAGATCCAGCCTCCCATCCAATGCAGGAGTAGCATCTTCCATAGCATCCCTGGAAGTTGGTCAGTCTCTGCTTGCACACCTCCAGGGATAGGAGCTCACTACCTCCTAATGCAGTTCCTTCTATTGTAGGGAAACTTTAATTATAAGAAAGTTTTTCCTTTTGTTGGAACACAATCCTGTCTCGGCTCCATCTTCCATCGGGGGTCATGCAGTTAGCTCCCTATTCCCTTTGAGAGCCCTTAGATATTGGGAGAGACACTGATCTGCCATCCACCCACCCTTTTAAGTCTTCTCTCCAATCTAAACAGCTCCAATTTCCTCTCCATTGTGGCCATCCTCTGGACATGCAATAGTGGGTGAATTAATCAAGGCTCTTGTAATGAAGTCAGATTGATATCAATGCCAAGATGTCTGTCCAGAAGCACTAAAGAGCTGACGAGTGAAACATCAATATTTTCTGGTTGATAGATATGAACGTTTCTCTTTTCTTTTTTCTTGGGGATAGATTTGGAAACTGCTCAGGGTTTGATTTTAGATCCATTACCCAAAGGCATCTTTACTATTGGTCTAATTTGTGTGTGTGTGTGTTTAGAGATGACATTTTTCTCATTGGCATACTGGCTCTGAGGTCACGTGGAATGAATCTTGATTCATTTTCCTTCCATGACAATGGGAGAAGGAACTGCACCTTTACTGAGAATGCTGATTAAGGATGGTCTTGCAACTCATATTTGGTGAGGAAATGAAGTTACTCCAATAAGACACCTTTTAGGGGCTTTCAGGGCCCTGTGCTGAGGCAGTGCTTGGTCTCGGGCCCGGCACTTTGCTCGCTGGGGCGAAGACATAATCACAGACCAACTTACTTTCTTGGGAAAATTCCCTGTCCCCTGCCTGTGAAGCTGCTGGGGCTCCATTTTTCTGCATCTTTTTTAGCATCTCACTTCCTCCAAGCTCCTCAGGAGATGCTCCCCTGATGTCAAAGCTACCAGCAAATCATTTTGTCTTGGGGTGAATTATCCCCCCAGGTTGAAACTCTTGAGGGCAAATTTTCTTCCAGTTGCCTTTCTTTTGACTGCTGATAAAAATCCTATTGCAAAGATGGATTGCTGGTTCTTAGGGACCCAGCCCAGGGAACAGGCAATGTGGGTGGGGAGGGGGGGAGGTTACAAGATAAAGATGTGCCTGAAGTTTCTAGCCTCACCAGTTCTCCTTGCCTTTGTGCTTGATCTATTGACCCCACTTTCCTTCCTAAGTCATCCCAGAAGCCACAATTGCCTCCTTACCACCGATTTTATCCTTGGAAGCAGAACCCACTGGCTCTCCCTCTTCTCTCCATCCCCAGAAACGGTGGGAAGGATAATCAGACACTCTGTTTTTTTGCACTGCAAGTCCCACATCCCAGGAAACCCATCAGTTCCAGGCAAAGGAAGCTGGCTGGTCACCCCAGGTATGGGACCCTCTCAGAGAGGTTTAACAGGCCTCCTCACAGTTGCATTTTCTTTCTACACTTTTCCATGAAAAAGGCAGAGCTGAGTAAATTCGGGGCTCTAGAGTTCTTCCTGTGCTGTCTGAATGAGGTCTCTGATCTCAAAGCACAAAGAACTTCTTAGGGAAAGACTAAGAGATCATGAGAACCAGATCATCATGAGGAGGAAGAGGTTTAATGCTTTGAGGCAACTGGTAAGCTTTGTTGAATGTCCCCAAAGTTGACAGTATCTACTACTGAGTACGTAGATGCATACACACGTGCATACATCCAGTAAGATGTGTTCCCTATGAAATGCTTCTTTTCCCAGGAGCTTGGCAAGCTTATCTGCTTGTGTAAAATATGATTTCTCCGTGGTAGGTCTACCGTATTCAGTGGGAGCTTGGATTCAACAGGGATCCACAGATTATAGCATGTGTGGGAAAATGAGATCTTGCCATATCCTCAGGCCATCTTCTTCTGGACTCTCGGGACACGCTTCTGTGGGCCAGCCCCTGATTGGTGTCTGCGGAGGTCACAAGCACCCTGGGCCAGGGAAACAGTAGTGATTGAGGAACTAGAAGCCCTTGCCGTTGTCAAGAAGATGGTCTCCTTTGCAGACAAGTCCTCACAAGCAAACTTTGCTCTCGCTTTGGACCAGGGCTGGGATGATGTGGGTGATGCACCCAACAGCACATTGGAAGTTTATAGGACAGGACCAGAGGCGCTCTGTCTAGACAGCTGCTAGCCTGACATTACTTAGAGGTCTGGCTTCCTGGAGTCCAGGTAATAGAGCATGTGTATGGAAGACGGAGAAGGAGGAGATGTAGATAGAGCTTGTCTAAGGAAGGAGGAGACTTACTCTGCTGTCTTCTCTGAGAAGGCCACCCTCTTCCAGGTAGCCCCAAGTGTCAAGAAGAGATGCTTCTGGTGGGGGGGTACGCCTCTGGCCACATCTGCCAGGTCAGCCTCGACAATCACAGGGGTGCCGGCGCTGCAGCCAGACTACCCCACGCCTGGGATCAAGGCGCTCCAGCTGTGCTTGTTCTCCACATGACTCTCCAGCTCACAGGTCTGTGCGGGTAGAAGCCCCAAACTCCCTGTCCAGCTCCTGGTCAGCAGCTGGAGAGCGAAAGAGACCAAAACCAACTTCTTCAACTGACCCCCAAGTATGTGTTTGTAGACAACCCCGTTCTTCCTGAGATTTCACCTTCTCAGCTCACCACCATTTCCACTTCACGCTGCTCACTTGCTCTGTCCTGAAGCAAACTGGGAAACGGGGGGCGGTGGGGGGAAAGAAGGGGGATGTAGAGCGGATGAAGGAGGGGATCCGGGGATCCAGGGACGGGCTGGGAGTGGCTATAACTAAACTGCCTTCAATTTTGTCTTCAAGTAAGAACAAAGTAATGTTTTCTTGGTGCTGTGCTGTCTGCCCGTTTTCTCTTTGGTGTTGCAGTTTTCTCCGGGGAGAGATCAGTGTTGCTTTTGTCTTTCTGTTACTCTGCTCTGCTCTGGTCAACTTCTTCCTTGTAAACTCTGGGTCTTGTGGGTGGAAAAGACTAATGCATTTACCTTTTCTAGCCGTAATCTGCAATCTCTTTTTCATTCAGTCTAGAAAACTGTGGTCGCGTGTTTGGCTTAAATTTAAACAAATCAGGGATGCGTTTGAAGGCCTGGGTTTGGGACAGCGTGCTGCTTTGGACCTTAACCAGCTCTTGTCTTGCTTGTCTCAGCCACAAAATAGAGAAACTCTTGAGTCAGTAGGATTGTTGGGAGTGTTCCAACATGCATCCAAGGGCCACTGTTAGGATCTTCCCCAAATATGTGTCCTGCCTATACTGCAATTTACTTAATATTTTCGTTTAAGTCAATAAATTTTCACTTCGATAAACATTTGAGAAACATTATATCAATCCCAGAATAGAAAATCAGTATCACTTGCCAAAAATAGAAAGCAGCCATAGAGATAAAGAAATGAAAACAAGGTTTTTAAGTTCTAACTTAAGCCCAGGGCTTATGTGTTTACAAGGGAACTGATTTGAGTGCTGGAGGGCTGGCGGGTCCAGGGGCTCCTGATGCTGGGAAGGGCTGCGAGGGAAGTCACCGGAGAGGATCTTCCAAACTTTCTGCGTGAATGTGGTTAAATCACTAGTGGAATTCGATACCTTTTGGAACCACAGAGAGAAGGAAAGTGAAACTGATGATATTTTTCATTGCTCTTATATTTGATTCAGATTGTTCCTCCCTTCCCTTCCTCTCCTTTTTTTTAGCTCATCCCAGAACATAGCTAAGTTGTTAATAATAATAATCGTAATAATCATGTAGCAATAATAAGAGAAGCTAACATTTAATGACCTCCTTTTTGCGAGGCACTGTGGTAAGTGCTTTACCTAGATTATCTTAATCCTCATAAAATCCTAGCAAGAGAAGTAGCCAAATTTCTCCTGCTTTGCAGCAGAGCGGCCCTCAGCCGAGAGGCCCCAGGCCCCAGGCCCCAGGGCGGGAGTCCGGCCACAGGCAATGGGACCGGCAAGCCTGCAGCGCTAACCGTGGGCACAAGGTTCGGTACCAGGCTGTTTACTCCACTCTCCCATGTAGGGCACGGTGTTGGGAGAGAGTAGGAGCAAGCAGGGGTGCAAGCAGCAAGCCCTCCTGTTGCCTAGGAAGTACCCTCCTGCCTCAGCCTGGGGCCTGGACAGGAATCCGGGACCTGCCTATTCCAGTGTGCAGCCCTGCCCGACACTTGCTTAGTGTCTTCTTTGGCTCCCTTCCACGCTCTGAGCCTCACTTTGGGTCTCTAAACAAGGGAGGAATTCAGTAGATGACTGGTCCGGAGGAAAGGCCCTCCCGCACCGATCATTCCTACTCTTGCCAGTATTCTCGGGCTACTGAGGAACCAGCAACTGCACACCCTGAGAAAGAGCGGTGTGAGCCAGAGCTAGCGCTCCTCTTTTGTATCTCAGACCCTCCCCGGGCTGTGCAGACGAGGAGGAGTGGCTCCAGTGGAAGGCAACTTGACTTTGCCACATTTTGTGGTTGGAACCTGGACCACTATCTGGATGGGCTCCTCTGTCCCAGGAGCTCACCACTGCGGGCACTTTATAGTTTCTATTTCCCCAGCAAGGTCCCTGGGCCTCTCACGGCAGCCTGCAGGGAGGGATTACTGACAGCATATTCTAGAAAAGGAAGCCGCCGTTGTCAGGGAAGGTGATTTGCCCAAGGACACAGGAGTCAGGGCCCAAACACTGCAGGTCACTCCACTCTAACAGATTGCTTTCTTCCTTCTCTTCTTTAAATTTGTTTCTAAATATACAAATTATATAT